CACCTGCCCCATAGGACTGTTGAGAGAATTAAAGGAGTTAGTACATTTTAATTATTTAGAATGGTGCCTGGCACAGAATAATCACTCCATAATTAGTTTTTTTTTTTAAAAAAATTATAACCCTATGAAATACTATACCTAAAAAAGTGAAGTAGATCCGTGTGAATATTAACTAAGAAAAACCTCATATTCTTCAATGAAAAAAAAAAGCAGAATGCCGTCTGTGGTATTCTAAGGAAAAAAGCTCCTATAAATTTTCTTTGGGTAACTATGTATGTAAATGCACAGTGAGGAAAGGGTCTGAAGAAGGAGTTAAAATGAGAGGAAGTCATTTAAAAAGGAATTTACCTTTATCTGATTTCAGATAGATAGACGGAGAGATAGAGATAAACATACATGTACATACACATGAACATAGAATGTATTCACATAATGCTTGTAACTTTAAAATGTGGATAAAAATTAAAGGATTGAGGTGGTAAGAATTGTTATTCCCCTTTTGTAAATGAGGAAACTAAAGTTTAAAGACATCCAATAACATGCCTAGGCGCACACAGCCAACGAGCCCCAGAGGAAGGATTTACGCCCAGCTCCGCCAGCCCCACGGCCCTCCACCACCCCTCGCTGCCTCTCCAGGCCACCCAGGAGTTGTCTATGACAAAGGCTAGAAGAAGGGGCCTCCTTGTCCATACTGGCTGGAGTGGTAAAAGCCAAATGCAATGGAGAATTGTGTTGTTGTTTTTGTTTTTCATGAGCGAACCTGTTGGAATGTGCCATTCAGCAGTGGAGCTGAATGGTTCCTGCTGTTCCCGCAAAACAAACAAAAGTCCCTCCACCCAGGCCACTTCTGTGGCCACTTTTCTAGCCTTATCTATCCAGGAATTGTGAAAGGGACACAGAACAGTGGGAGGGGCACTTTCTCCAGCCAGCCAGGACCTAGTCTCCTGACTCTCTCTCTGGTTTTCCACCCAGCACACTGACAGGTGCCCAGCCCTGGGCAGCCCCAGCTCAACCCCACCTGGAAGGGGGAGAGTACTGAAGCCCAAGATGTCTTGTCTCTAATAGCTTTACTTCTCCCTGGGCCTCAGGGGGACAAACAGAGTCATATTTTACTTGGACTTGGTGCTTTTGAGAGTCTTTTCCAGTTCTAATAGCCAAATAATATCAGAAATTTTCCTTTATTTTCTCTATTTATACCCTAATGTAAAAAATTAATTAATTAATTAACTAACTAATTAATTAATAATATCCCCTTCCCGTAAGATGATGTTTAATTAAAACCTTTGGCCACTTGGCTGTCTTCATATTTTTAATAGCAACTTCTCAAATCAATAAGTAAAGCATTCTTCAAATGTTAACCATTCATTCCATCTTGGTCCTAGGAGGGGTCATCTGACTTAGAATGGGTACATGGAGGTGGAACAGATTTTAAAGAGTAGTATAACTAATCACGGATTTAGCTTTCCCATTCAGTAGCAGGACGACGTTATGCAACTTCTCTTAGCCTCAGTGTTTCTCATTGAAAAAAGGGTATAGCAGCGGCTCTTCAGGTTGCTGGGTGGAAGAACGCTGGGATCTGTGAAGTGCTTTTGCCCAGCAGGAGTCTGAGAGATGTCCCTTGCCTCCTCCTATGAAGATCAGCTCTCCTCTTCCCAAGGTTCCAAAATGTCCACGGCCTGGGTCCCTTCCCCCAAGTGGCTGGCTCCCCTCTGAAGTCTGATCCTTTTTTTGCCCTTAAGTCACAAAGTCCAGTGTGGAGTCGAATTGTGTGTATGAGTGAGAGGGAATGGATCTGGCTTCTATGAAAATGGCTCCTTTGCTAAAACTACAACCTCAGATCTGATACTGAAAGAATCCGCTGGCACTGGATCCTGTCAAAACAATTCTGAGATATCCAAGGACCATCCTCCAGGACTGGCAGCGGGCCCCCAAGCTGAGCCTCACTCTCAAATTCCCAACAGGCTGAGGGGGCAGGCCCCCAACACTCCATTGGACAGCCCCATTCCTCTATGCCAGGGGGGCCACAGAGAAGGGCTTGGCATGCTGAAGCAAAATTCTCTGTCTACTGCATCCCACTCCCCTGCAGAAACACCACCCCTACACACACACAGGCAAGGGCACACATACACCCCAATTTTCAGAAGGCTCTTGGCACTGCCCATCCCTTCCTGAGTTGGACAGAGCTGCTGGAGCAGTATCTACCCAGCCGCCAAGCTGCCTTCTTCATTCCCAGCCCCCTCCCTTCCCTCCTCTAGAGTCAAGGTTTTGTCAGGAGTTTCAAGGGCATGACTGGTGGGGAGGGGGCCACAGATATCGCGGCTGCTGCCAAGTCCCTTTCTTTCCCCCACAGTATGTTTTATAAGCCAGCATGTAGTTTATTCTTCTCCTAAACACTTCACTAGGGTGCAGGGCCTGGAGTTGCCATAGAAACACCTTTTAACTCCTCCTCACCCAGAAGACAGCACCAATCCCCAGGGCTTTGGGGGAGAAAGGCAAAAAGACACCTGTGGATGAGAAGAAAGGAGAAGGAAAGCCATGGGGGTGGTTCCTTAGAAAGAGCCAAGCCAGGCATGCTGTGCCCTCACCCAGCAATGTGGCACCTGGCCACAAAGAGAAGAGAATCCGGAAGGTTCTGGAAAAGGAAGCTGGTAGGCTGGCTTGAGCATCTTTAATGGACTACAGCGTTGATTAGCGAGATAATAGGGGTCAAAGGGAATGGGGAGCTGCTATACATTTCCTTCAGGGAGAGAACAGGCAGCCTTCAACCCAGACTCAAAACTAGAAAGGCTGTGGCGAGGAAAACTGAGCGCCCCCTCCTGGACGCCAGCTGGGTACTGTAAGGCAGCAGAGGTCAACAAGCAAGCAGCCCATATCCACACCTCCCATTTTTAAAAGCATTATCTCATCGCCGCCACTAGTGCAGTGCAGAACAGTTTTGGATCGGGGCCAGCACATCGAAGATTTTTTTGTTTCTTATTTAGTGTTGCTACCTCAGTGTTCTGGTCTTTTTGTACTTCCTGGTAACTTAGCTTTTCTCTGGGCATTTTATTACGGGGGGTGGGGAGGGGAGTCAGAGAAGGGGGTATATCTTGAATAAATCCAGATAAACTACAAGAAACTTTCTGCAACAGCCCATACCCACAACTGAGAACAAAGTGAGATAGTGCCCGCATTGAAAGCGGGGTTTCCTTGCTTCCGTTTACCTACTAGTTCCCTGATCAACTTGCAGGGTGGAAACTCAAAAGCCAAGGGTGGGGGTGGAGGAGGCATGAGATCTCACCAAAAAGTCCAAGGGAACACACCTGAGCCACTGTCAAGCAGAGGAGGACACCCTGACTCCTCCACCTGTCAGCCTTCCGGCCCCAGTATCTGCTCCTCCCTGGGCCCCAGTATCTGCTCCCACCACCGGAGCAGCTCCCACCACTACTCAGGTGGGAATGTCCCCTACAGGGTGAGAAGAGACAGGACAAATGGAATTTGGGTGGAGACAGTCTGGAGAAGGGAGAAAACCTTCCAAGCCTCAGGCAACCCAGAAGAATCTTTCTAAGCAATCCACAAACCTAGAGGCAGGTTCCCCCAGGAGAGAGAAGGGCAGGCCCCAGGAAACCTCTAACAAGGGTGACCCCAGGCCACACAAACACTGACACCTGCAAACTGCACTGACCTGGTCACCACAGCCACCTCCCTGACTTCTCCTAGGCTAGGCCAGGCCCACCAGCAGCGCCCCTCCCAACCTCTGCTGCCTCCCCTGCCCGGCTCCTGCCTCCTGCAGCACACTTGTAGAGGCCATCACCCAGGACCCAGTGGAAAATTTCCTTTCCCTTTATGACTGTACTTAAAAAACACACACTCCATTCTTCACTCTGAATCGACACAGGCAGAGTGGCTAGACTGTGTCCCACCCCAATCCCAGCCCGCGTACACGCGTGAGCGTGCGCGCGCGCACACACACACAGACACACACACACACACACACACACACACACACACACAGCAGGGGCCACTGGACTTGCATGCTTTATGAGCTGGAAAGGAGAGGAGAGATGTTTCCCAGCTGCTACTCCACCTCTGGCCATCCAAACAAGTGTCCCGAACACTCCCAAACAAGTTCTCCCAGACACTCTCAAGGCCGTCGGTAAAAACTGGGTCTACTTCTTACTGAGCCTTTCTAATTGAGACACAAGTCCAATCTAGAATTGTCACCATGATGTGACCCTTGGCATCTTTGTTCTTTTGGTGACAAATCTATTTTCCACTGCTCCTTCTCCTCCTCCCCACACACATTCAAGAAAAAAAAAAAAATAGCCTTCCTGTGAATTCTCACAGCTATGTGATAAGTGATCCCTCACACACGCCACCTCCTGCTTGCTATCAACACTCTCAAATACAGTTCCTCTGGGGGAGGGTCAACCCCATGGCTTGATTCTCTTTTTTTTCCCCTTAAATCCACCCACACTTGGCAGTCTAAGAAGCTCTGTTAGCACTTGCTTTGGAAGCTGGAAGCTGGGTTGGGTCTCAATGAAAAGAGTGAACCTCTTGGGCACAGGAGATAGTGCAAACTCAGAAAACTTCAAGTTTTATCCTGCAACTTTTCATGCACATGGCTGGCAACTTTAAAAAAAAAAAAAACAAAAACAAAACTATTCAACAGCCCAGCAGTTTAGTTGGTATTCTAAGTTTTAGGAACCCTCTCCCATCCTTCTCCCCCAGCCCTTCCTCCTGCCATCGTGAAAAGGGAATTTTTCCAGATGTCAAAAGGACCAATAGGGACCTCATGCCCTAAAAGGAAAGCAAAGGCTGCAAAGGGTTCATTCAGCCGCTGTGGGGTTTCTCTGAAGGGCATCTCCCCCTCAGCTATGTCAGAGCCCCAGTCCGGGCTGCAGCCCAGCCAGAAAAAAAGAGCGGGGTTCGCCATGCCACCCGGAGCAGTGCCCCAGTCCGGGCTGCAGCGCGCTAGCGGACACTGCAGGGGCTCCAGTGAGGACACCGGGAGCGCTTACCTATGTCAGAGTTGCAGAAGGAGTCCTGGGGGTGGCTGGGCGAGCACGTGCACGCCTCGGCGCCCCAGTCACCCAGGCTCCAGCTGCCCAGGAGCACGACGAGCCCGAGCCAGGGAGTCATTGCTGCTGCCGCTGCTGGGGCTGCTGTTCGCCTCTCCAAAGTTGCTGTGCGCGCCGCTGGCGGAGCCGCTGCAGCCGGAGCTCGCCCGCCCGGCAGG